ATTCTATGAATCATGTTATATATTTGTCTTTCAGTATAACCATCTAAATTCCATTCGTAAACATTTTTACCACTATAACTATTATTAATTTCATATTCTTGTTCCTCATGTAGGACATCTTGGGGGCTCGGTCTTGGATAATAATATAATCTTTGAACAGGTTTTCTAGCAAATTTGCTATCATAATTGTTAATTTTGTTTATTTGAGTATTATCCGAATCATTATCTGAGTCTTTATTTATAGTATTAATTTGTAATTTTTTCATTTGTTCTTGCAGAATATCTAGCATATAATCATAATTTTTAAGTTTATAACCAGTAATATTTGGTGGGGGTTGAATAGTAGCATTTATTTGTTGTTTTTTATCTTTTTTCTGTATTATTATATCTTTATTGTTAATGGGTGAATTTATATTTTCTAATTTTTTATGTAAGTCCATTAACTGTTCTCATAATATTATGGAATATAAATTATGGAAATTTAATTGTTGAATCATACTATTAATATGATTGACATCTATTGTAAGAGTCTTTTCTTCAAAAAGTTTTTGGTAAGCCGAAAATTTTATAGTAACATTGTTATTTGTAATGGTAAAAGGGACTTGTGGTGGAAATATACTTGTTATTATTTTGTCTCCCGATAGAGTATAATCTCTTTCTATGTTGTGAATATTATGTAAAAAAGTATAAACAAACCAAGGAATAAAATGTATAATTTGATTTATAGAGGATAAATATTCATAAAATCTATTTTGTATTTCTTGTAACTCTTCTTTAGAATAACTTTTAAATAACCATTCTTTAAAAAATATCCATTTATTCGAATAAAATTCTTCTGAAATAATTTTTCTTGCCTGAGAACCAGGACTAAAATCTATTTTTTCTTTTAAATCCATTAAACTGTAAAATTCATTTCAGAAGGAGTAGATGCCTCCGCTTCATACACAATATCATCATGTATATTTAAATTGTTTATCTTTCTATTATCAACAGAAGCACGAGTAGAGGGAATTTCTACGTTATAATCTAGTGGTGATATGTATAAATGTGAAGATCTTGCAGATCTTGTTCGTTTTATTAGGTCGTTATTATACTCTATTTCTTTGTTAAACTCAATAGTAACAACGCCATCAGAAGTTTGTATAATACTTTCTATATTATTATTTATTAAAGGTGTAGGTGGTATATTATTTTCTAAAATCCAGTGTTGGGGAAATTTTATTTCCTCCCATTTTATAGCTTTTCTAGTTGTAATTTTTGACACATCAAAATTACTTTCTATTAAAATTGTCTCATTTATAGGTTTATTAACTATCTTACATTTAGGATTCATAGTTTTTAATGGTTTATAATATATACGATAACATATACATATTACTTCTGATCCTGGTAAATAATTATAACCATGAGTTTTGACGTTTAATGTTAAGGCTTGAAAAATATTTTTATCAGATAAAGAAAGCTGTAAATTTGGGTAGACATTAAAATATACCGGTCCATGAGACAAGCTAGATTCTATTATACCCATTAAAGATTGTTTCCAATTTTTATTTCTAGCATCCCTAAGAACTGCTAAAAAACTTTCAGGTAATCCCTGTAGTGTTAATGGTTTAAAAGCAATTTGCACCAAACCAATATGCAAATAATTATAAATATGTTTATATCTATTTATGTCTTGTGGAGTTATTAACTGAACTGTCATGTCATCTTCATTCATAGTTAAATTTTCTTCTGTAGTTTTAACAGTTTGGATAAAACCTAATTCTTCAAAAGTTCCTAATTCATATATAAATTTAGGGTTGATACTAGGAATTGTCCATTTATTAAGAAGGTCTAAATTCTTTGGGACTTCATATTCTTCTATTAACTGATTTTTAATCACCTGCTTATTACTATTTTTGAATCTACTGAATATACTCATGAAGAGTAAAATAAATGAGGTAACATCACATAGTATTCCATGGCTCTGATACCAAAATCAAGCAAAATCAAGCAGGACCATAAGCAGATAACAAAATTTTTAGAACTTTGAAAAATAAAAACAAAAAGAGTTGGGTGAGATAGGCGAGTCAATGAGTAAAACGCCCTAAAACGGCACAGTGGCCACAAAACGGGCTAAAACACGACTTTGCCTTTTTCCATTCCAGACTCTTTTTTTTTTTTTTTTTAATAAATTAAATATATTATGTGAAGAATGGAGAGTTTCATATAGATATAGTGAATGAAAAAATAGTTTTGTTTATGATATAATATAGTATGATATCAAATGATTAGGATAAATATTATCGGGTTATATATGCAAAGGAAATTGTAATTAAAAAATAGTTATTTAAAAACATAGTTATGCTATTAGATATTGTTTAATAGCATTATATAATATATAATATATATATATATATATATATATATATATATATAATGCTATTAAACAATATCTAATAGCATAACTATGTTTTTAAATAACTATTTTTTAATTACAATTTCCTTTGCATATATACAAGTGATAAAAGCCAAGTAGTATCCAAGTTATGAATCTTTTTGACGCATGTATATATAAGGAAAATAACTTACCAGTGTTATTTCTTTTATATTTAGAAAATTTATTTTTTGTATGTATTTGACCATTTTACTTGTTATATGTGTTCACATATTACCATTGTCGCTGGCTATAGCATGTGACAATGGTAATATGTGAACATATTTAACAAATTAAATGGTCAAATGTATACATAAAAAGAAAGTTTCCTAAATATAAACAAAACGAAAAATTAATTACTCTGATAAGTCATTTTCCCCACTTTTAATAGCGATTTTATGTTTTTTTTGTATTATTTTTTCAAACGTTATTTTTAAAGTATCCCTAATGTCCTAAATCTTAATTAAATATTGATCAATTCTAAACTTTACTTTTTAATTAATAAATATGTTTTTGTTTTGTAAAATATTTTATAAAGTCTCTTATATTTTTTTCTTTTGTTTTTAAGCATATATATATATATAATATATATATATATATATAATATATATATATATATATATATATATTAAATAAAATAGTATCTAACAATAAAATTAAATAACTTAAATATGTAAAAATAAGTATGGATAGTCCTTTAAAAAAATAAAAAGAAAATATTACTTTGCAAAAAAAAAAACAAAATAATGTAAATGTTTTAAAATTAATACAAATTTTTAATACTTTTTAATTAGAAGTTTATCAACTTTTATTTTTTTTTAATACAACATTTTAAACTAGGATTTAACAAAAGTATTTTAAAATGTTATAAAAATAGTAATAAATTGTCATACAAAATCTGTGAAACACTTTAAAAATATTGTAAAAGAAAATTTAGAAATAATTGTATGAAAATTATAAAATAAATGTATGAAAATTATAAAAAAAAAAGTTAAAAACTTAAGAAAATTTTAAAACATTTATAAATATTTGGTTTAAAAGCACCTGTATTAAAATTATATGAAAATATAAAGAAAGATTAAAAAAATTATAAACAAAGTTTAAAATATTGTATTAGAAAAACCTATAGGAAAAAAATATCATAAAAATGTTGTAAGAAATTATAAAATGTCTTAAAAAAAATTTGTAAAAAACATTGTTCATATTTAGACAACTTTTTTTGTACACATTTGACCATTTAATTTTTTAAATATGTTCACATATTACCATTGTCAATTGCTATACCATGTGACAATCGTAATATCTGAACACATTTAACAAGTTAAATAGTCAAATGTGTATACAAAAAAATTGTCTAAACGTGAACAAGACAAAAATGTAACTACACTGATAAGTCATTTTCCCGTAAATATACAAAGTGTCGATTATTTAGATACTTTTTTATAACAAATCAAAAGTTAAATTTGTTATTTAACATAAATCCTATTATATAAGTTTGTTTTTTATGATGTTGAAATTTTAAAATATTTCCTATTAAAAAATAATATGTAGGTTGGTATCCGGTAACATTCCGAAACGTTTGAAAACAAGAACCAACAACATATGTTTCGGCTGGAACGAACAGTTTCGTAGCTGTTTCGGTTCTAACGGGTACCCAGTGTTGACACTCAACCTATGAATAAGATAGGCGATCGGTCGTAATCACTATAGAAATCCACATAGTTTAATAGAAGGGTTGCAGGATGTGGAATACCATATTTGCATTCATTAGATTAACTAAATCATAACCTGATGCCAAGTTGATATTTAATGCATGGATTTGAGTTTAATGGTTTTTGATTTTTTTAATGAATTGTTTTTAAATATAGTATATTGAACTTTATAGAATTCAATGCGTTGTACGAATCAATGTTCTAAATAACACAAGACGTGACTTGACGACAATATTAAACCTCAAGCTTTTTCGAGTCGTGACGAATCACGTCGTTTGTAAAGCATGACTTAAGGCGGCAATTATATATATATATATATATATATATATATATATATATATATATATATATCTAATAAATAAAGATTCATTTTGTCACATGTCAATCTCTCATGAGTTTTGACACTTGTCATTTTGTGGTATTTTTGAAATAAATAATATCCACATGTCAATTTTTGAGTTTTTTTCAATTTTAATATTTAAAAAGTTATATAATACTTATAGTTATATACGTAAAGTACTAATTGTAATAAATGTGATAGTAAATTGCAATAAATACGTTTTTTTTTAATATTTATTTTAAAAAATATTAAAGGTTTACATTTTAAATTTTTTAATATTTTTGAATCAACCTATGTAATACACGGGTTTTACACCTACTATATATATATATATATATATATATATATATATATATATATATATATTCTATTATTAATCGTTTTTATATACATATATAATTTAAGACAATATTTTGTTAAAACTTGATGGCAAGTACAAGCTTTGGAACCATGGCGTGTCATAGCGAAACTAATTAATGTAGAAAAGTTAGCAAGAGTAAATGCAAAAATGAAATACTGTAATACAATTTACTTACAAGGAAACGACGTGACAAACACCACCAGGGTAGGAGCAGTCACACTCAACACTGTTGTTATATGGAGATTTTTCTATATATGGTGTTAGCCAATTGATATTTCTATCGCATGGGTTTTGGCTAAAGTCCCAGTCCGTTTTACCCAATTGCTTCGCTATTTGATGAAGAACATCCACTGCAAGATAACATCAATATTTATCCACAAACTCTAAAAAGAAAAAGTAAAAAAAGTTGAGTACATCAAAAATGGAATCCATATGGTTTTTTAATGGTGTGTAATTGAGAGGGAAGTATGTCATCTTTGTAGTTATGTCATATGTGTTGCTTTATATTATCCAATTGGGTTTTCTTCACACAGAAAACGAGTACATGAATTACATGGAATATAAAACATATGAGCAGCGTACAAAAGAACTTGGCTTCATATTGAGGAAGATATCCGGCTTGTGCTGGAAATGTACCATTTCCTTCCAAGGATAGAACCGTAGAGAAGATGAATGGGAGAGTAAACAAAAGTCTCAAACTTATATCGAGAATAGTCGACATCAAAGAGGAAACGAGGAATTATGATAAAGATATGTGTGCATATAATGCTTATAAATACTTAAACTCTACCTATGGTATTCACTGTGACATTGCATCAGATAAGTTGTGGGCATCTTTCATCATTTAAAACATAATTACTGCCATGTCATATCAAATTTGTTGTAAATATCTTTCATCATTTAAAACATATTTGCAATTTGCAATAATTCCTATATTATTATGATGGGAATTGGGAACCATCCAGGAGAGACGATATCTGATGCAATGAACAATGTTCACAATGTTCTACATGATCAGTTTTGAAAAATCAATGAAAGCTTGGTAGTCGCTTGAGGCCATAAATTCAGCGAGAAAATTTTGTGATGATTAAGATATATGCAGGTTAGAATAAAAAGCAACAATGTGGATTCTTTTCTTTGGTCGGCCTCCACCTCGATTGCCGAATGAATTTTCTAAGCCATTTTTGGTCTCTTTCCTAAAATCCTTGACGAACCAACCTTTAATGATTAAGATCCTCCCTAATAAATAAATTAATTTTTTTGTCACATGTCACGCTCTCATTGATTTTGCCACATGTCATTTTGTGGTTATTTTCAATTAATTTTTTTCCACATGGCATTTTGTGGTTTTTTTTCATTTTATTAATTTTCATATAATATTTAAATTTAATAATGTCAATAAATGTAATAATAAATGCATATCAATTTCATTAATTGACTTGCTTTTATTTTCAAATTTTCTAAATTAAGTTTCATTAATTTCCTTTGTTTATTTATCTAAATTATTTTTTTTAATTTAAAAGAAAAACAAACAATTTAATTTTAAAAATTCAATAATTTTCTATTTTTTTCTTATAAATTCAAACTTCTCAAATGTTTAGAATTTCATTATTTTTTCTTTAAAATGAACTCATGTAATACATGGGTCTTACACCTAGTATATACTAAATTACATTGTTTTTTTTCTCATACTAATATAATTCTTTTTAATCTTTAAATTTCTATTAAAAAAATTATTATGTCTTTATTTTTATATTTTTTCTATTTATTATTATTATTATTATTATTATTATATATTAATGCCTGAACAGTATACTTCTTGCACTTTGGACATTAGCCACCAATTTTTTCTTATTTGTTATGTTTTTTGGTCCCTCTATTAACTAGTGTCATACCTGTCTCGTGGACAAGTTGACAAACGTATAAACAATATGTTGATTTATCTTATTTTTATAACATATTACTTTCATTTGTTCCTATATTAGCTATGTACATGACAAATCTATCCGCTTATCTTTCTATCTCTTCAAATAATATATCTATAATTGTGTTGCATACATAACATAAAATAAAGAACACAGTCAATTTAAGGCTCAAAAACTGAAATATTATTCAGTGTAGAGTTGAAAGTCAACATTTTCTACTTATCGGTTCAGATAAAACCGCCGGCGGACAGGTTGAAAAATAATTAAAAAAAAACATTAGATTGATTTTACTTTCTTCTATAGCATCCTTCTTTCATTTGGTTCCACATTAGCAATGTAGAATGACAAATTCATCCAACTATATTGTAAACAATACATTGGGTCAATGTGGGGACAAAATAGTCAAAATAAGACCTACCTTAAATTACACGGTTAAAAGACATATCAATGTGGTTTCTCACTTCTGAAATTATCGTCCATTGTGCATTATAAGAAATTTAACAAAACCTTTTATTAAAATAAACTTTAATACTAGATTTATTAATTATACGACTAAAAGCCTAGTGTAATACCTGATAGGTTAGCGAAAAATTAAATTTTCATTTAGTGTTTACTCAGATAAACGTATAGAGTTATGCATCTTTGTATATTATCGTTACTTATTCATTTTTTCCATCTCGACACTACTATTTAGAAGCAACTTTTACCGGCCGGGAAAAAAATTATTTAAGAGCAATATACTTTGACATAAAAACAATAAGTTCTATATACTTTATATCTTCACCTATAGAGAACTACATTATAAAGTATTGATCCAAATGATCAAATGTGTTGCCGAAAAATACGTAGTTTTTTTGTCATGTATGTCGTGAACGATACATGTTATCTTGGTGTTTGTTCCTAAGCCCACTTACAAAAGATAGATGAATTTGAGGCTCATCACTTTGTTCTTTTGCTATAATACAATGATTTTAAAGTAGGATGCTGAAATAAACAAATAAATACAAGTATGTTACTATTAATTTCATATCATCTACATATCCTACTTGTTTCCTTAATCGGATAAAAATCCGAATGCAGTAGATGCAAAAAGAAAATGAAATTCACAATAGTAACCATCTAAAAGTTCCAAAGCTCCAAAATGATTCCTAATTCATACTTTTGTTAAAGAATGATACAAAATGGATCAATATATGATAAGCAAAAAGTACCCGAAGAGCTCCACTATGTATTACCAACTCATCTCACATTAATGTTTATAAATACTTTTGAAATGACGAAAATATGATTTTTTTTTTGGTAAAGTAAGAGTTAAACAGTACATGTGCATTTTTTTGCTGTCGACTGTACTGTCGTGGTTGAGCTTTACTATATGCATTGTCTAAATTTGAATAAATGATTCTTTAACCCTCATGTTTAAAAAATGACAAATAGCAAACATGAAAGTACAATAAAGTAACAAGAAAAAAAAATAGAAAGTGTTTTGTTATTCATTGTATTATTTTTGAGAAAATCTCAAGTTTTATATTCACAAAAAAATGTATATTGTTGCAAGTTTGATACAACCATAAATTTTCTCTATAACTGTTTCAAATCGTTGGATGCACGAATAGAAATACATGGTTTTAAGTTACAGTGCTGTTGATAAATTTTGATTGAAATAAGTAATATAACCTTTCAAAGCATTTTTATAAGTTTTATGACAGTAACATATGAAAGTAAATTATAAAATTAAATCATAAGCTTTTCCATAGTAAATAAAGGAAAATACATTGCAAAAAGTATATATATATATATATATATATATATATATATATATATATATATATTATAGGGGTGAGATCCGTTGAGAACTCATAGTTTCCCGAGAACCTGAGAACTAAAGGTGGAACGTTAGATCAAAATAAACTTATAAAGGGCATGATCGTCATCTTACCGATCTCATTTAACATTTATTTTTATTTTTTTGCTATTGGAAATATTAATAAAAAGTTCTAAAAATTAACAAAATAAATCAAATTTCAGATTATTTTTTTTTAAAAATCGATTTTTTTAAAAAAAATGGAGATTTGTTTTTAAAAAAATGGAGATTTTTTAATTTTTGCAGAAAACATGAATTTAAAAAAAAAGTTGAAAAAAATACTTTTTTTAAAAAAACTGCAATTTTTTTTTTAAAAAAAAACTAAACTTTTTAAAAAAAAAGCTACAATTTTTTTAAAAAAAACTACAATTTTTTCAAAAAAACTGCATTTTTTTAAAAGAGTAAATTTTTTAAAAATCAATAAATTAAAAAAAAAGAACTAGAATATTAAAAAAAAAAAACTCTAATTATTTTAACAAAACAAATCAACGTTTTAGGTGCATATATGTATATTTTTTCAAATGCATATATGTATATTTCTTATACTATACTATTCGTAAGTAAATCATAAAAAATCTCATTTTTATTAATAAATCTATAAACATAATAGTACAAATATTTTATTCGATACAAAATAAAATAAAAAAAAATAAAAAAAAATGCTACAAATTTCAAAGTGTTTTCATGTCTTCGTGTCAATATTTCCTTATTTTTTCAATTTATCATTTTTCATCTCTTCAATATTCACCACAATTTCTTCTAAATATACAAGAAAATTAAAATAAAATTGATTGATGCAAAAACACTCACAAAAATACATATGTGATTTTCATGTGATTAACATATGAATCACATGTGACACACATATGAATCACATGCGATTCACATATGAATCACATGCGATTCACATATGAATCACATTTACATATGACATCATATGTAAATAACATGTGATTTACATGTAAATCACATGTGATTCACATGTATATCACATGTAAATCACATGTGATTTACATGTGATTCATATTTGAATTACATGTGATTTACATGTGAATCATGTGTAATTATGATTGACATGTGAATCATATTTAATTCATATGTGACCAGCTTGTGATTTACATGTGAATTGCATCTTATTCATATGTGAATTACATGTGATTTACATGCGAATCACGTATAATTGTGATTTACATGTGAATCACATGTAATTTTAATGTGAATTACATGCGATTTACATGTGAATAACATGTGATTCATATGTTAATTATATATGATTTACATATGAATCACGTGTAATTGTAATTTACATGTGATTCATATGTGAATTACATGTGAATCACATGTGATTCATATGTGATTCACTCGTGATCTACATGTGAATCACTACACATGATATTGACATATTTATACATATTTTTAGGCGATAATTATTTACATTTTTATTAATAATTTGGTTATTTGCATAGAATAATGGTACTTATAAGTTAAAATTATATTTTGCAGCCAAATAGAAGCATTTTCGAAGATAGGGACTGAAATTGACAAAACATGGAACTTTGGAAGCTTGAGGAAAGAAGAATGAAAAATTCAGCAAATGACGTACTCACGACGTGAATAGTTCATGACTCACGAAGTGAGTGGAGAATTTTAGAAGATATGCATCCGGATGGAGGAATCCTTGTCGATCACGAAATTGTCATATTCACGACGTGAGACTTATCGATTCATGACGTGAATCCGGCAAATCCAGAAAGTATATAAACTCTTGGCCATTACGAATTGAAAGACTTTTGGCTGATAGAAGGCAGACCTAGAGACGATTTGGAGGAGAAAAGAAGTTCTGGAAAAGGCTTTTATCACCTTGGGAGAGAAGAGTACATAATAAGTTAATTTGTTTGGTACATTCATTATGACTTCTATTATGAATTGTTTTTG